ATTTAGATGGATTGCTATTTTGTAACGCACCTAACAAGAAGTTTAATAACAACAATGTATTGCTGGTCTTGGAATATACTATCATGCCACATTCAGTATAATTTACTGCCGTATTCAACGTTTCTGAAAGAGCTGTACTGATACTGTAGCTATTTTAAAAAGGTTGTCAGATAAAATCGCTTCGTTTTCCAATGTAAACATAGTCTGACATCATAATGAAATAGGGCAATTCCCTTTCTAGACTATTCCCATTCTCACCAACTTTGTTTTTGAAAATAATAGGAGTACATGTATTCAGGATAGTAATTGATTTAGTAATAGTAGGTGTACAAAACAATATCTAAAATTACTGACAATAAAACCTTTCTATATCAAATGTTGTATTATTATTTTTTTGTTCATACAGTATAGTTTATGCAAAATCTATATTTTTTTGTTCCTAAGATTCAAAATACACCCCAGCTTCTACATTAAATTCAGTCTGAAATTTCTTTTTCACTGATTTCTGCCCCTTTAAATACATTGTAGATGTATCAACTAAGTGGAATTGTGGTGTTTTCGTTTGTACTTTTCCTATATTTTTACATTTAAGTTAAGTAACATTTGCAAGAATTCCAAATTAAAGATAATTCAATAGTGTAGTGTACACGGTCTACCCAAGAGAATCAGAGACCGTAGAAAAACCAACACCAACCAATCAGATCACTCCATTTACTTGTGTCCAGGCCCCATGTACACGTTCATATAATGCAAGTACTGTACATATAAAAATATTACTTGTATTGTTTGTACTAAGTAACTTCTGATGTTATTCCTGCAGTTCCTTATAATTGTGACTTATTCAATTCTACCAAATTCTGACAAAGGCCAAACCTGTAACAAAGTAAAAAGATATATATATATATAATAAATAAAATTTGATAAAAATAATATCAACGTTACAAGGAATACATTAATAACTTATGGAGAGTAGAAAATGTAATGTACAGTACAATCAGTAGTCTTCCAAAAAAAAAACTAAATCGATCGGCTACAGCTAAAGTACAGTACTGAGCTACTACTGGGCCTTGAATTTCAATTGAAGAAAACGATAAACACAATAACAACAGATACCTTGAAACAGACCCTTCCTGTGATCAACCCATAGGGGACTGGGCCATAATCTCTGGAGTCTCTAGAGTCATCAGGGTTATCTCCTAGCAACCAAACATGACCTTTTGGTACCTGGGAAGAAATGTCCAGTAAGTTAACACTAATCGGGACTGTGTGTAAATCATAACAATAACAGATGTGCCACAAAGCATGGTGGTGCAAACTGAGCCTTTAAAATTTAAGAGTTTACAAAAAAATGAGGTGTAATTATACAACAAATAAAGTGATTTTTGTGGGACAAATCTCTACAATTTCTCAATTCATGTCATGAGCCAATTCCTTTGTTTTCTTTTGTTTTTCAATCCGCTTCCATGTTTACATTGAACTGGAATATATACCATGGATACTAGTAACAGTGTGTATAAACTATAATATTATGTTGGAGCCATATGGCCTGCTGATTGAGCTCCCTTCCACTAACATGAAGCTGCTAAAAAAAGTACTAAAAAAAACTTGAAATCATGGTAAAACTGTACCTTGATATAATCATCTTCATCTGGTCCTGTGGAAACCAAATCCCCTGCCTAAACAAAGGRAAGGGAAAAAAAGAAAGGATTGTAAGCACACTTACAAAAATTTAATAATGCATGAGCTATTGCTCCAATAAGGGCTGTCCATTTAATCAGGTGATTGACCTTGTAAATCTGATACAACACTAGTGTTGTATAAGATTTACAACATGGTCATCACCATTGAGACAACCCAACACTAGCAAAGGTCTCAGTTTTAGTATCGCATTATAGACCTTCACTAGGTTTAGAAGCAATCAAAGATGGATAACAGAACTCGGTTATGCAACAGATTGGTTGCTTTCCATGTGGGATGGATAATTATTCAAAATGTTCTGTGTTTAAGTAAATTTCGCATGCTTGATAGCGACTAAACTCAGCAGTTACCTTAATTGTCATTTTTCGTCATTTATCTCACTGTAATTCATGTTAATTTGTGTTGGAGTTTTATAAGTCATTTACAACATTCGCGTCCATGTTGTATGGGAATTACAATCTCTCGCCTGTGGCTCGAGATTGTAATTCCCATACAACACGGCCGCTCATGTTGTAAACTATATATATAACGTAACCCTGGCATAAATACAGTAATGGCAACAATCAACATTTAAATAGCATCATTTCTGCAGTCATTTTTGCAGCTTTTTTCTGATATGATTATGGGATTATGTTAATCAATCTGCCAGAGTACATGTAGAGTAGCTGTAGGATTGTCCTTCATCTGTGGGAAACGGACGGTACTGTACTGTGACCGTTATCGTACTGTAACCAAATTCTAGTGCCCCATTGGTTAACCAAAATTGTGAAGGCCAGGTCCGGTAACTGTGCGGTAACCATGCAGTAACGGTGTCCCACTCATACGAAATCCACTCTATCATGGATGTCCATTATACATGTACACAAATTATGCATGGTTCTAATATGTACTAAATACATTTATCCAAGCTTGGCTGTCAAGTCCCTGTAGATCTTGAAGGTTCATTTATTTATATTAAATTTCTTAAATTAATGTACATGGTTATTTCATGAGTTCTGCTGCATTAAATATCATTAAAAATTCAGCTTGATGATAGGCCTTTTGCATGAAACGGTCACATGGTACAAAATCCGCCATACTGGATGGCAAAAGAATGTAAACAACCTCAAAAACAAAGGGAACGCAGCCCATCAAGCTTGAYTTTTCTTTGTTTTGAAAATCCCAGTGGGTATTTTGCCATCCAGTATGTTGTATTTTGTACCATGTGACCGTTTCATGCAAAAGGCCTATTGATCAAGCAAATTTAACTCATCAGTTCATGGTTATGGCTTAGGACCTGTATTCTTTTTCTTTTTTTATTCTTTTATTTAAAAATAGGGAAACAAACTTACCATTGCAGCTATTCTTTTACAACAAGAGGATGTTGGATCTTCTGGAGATCTTACAATGGTAATGTCTCCTCTATAATCAATATAAAATTAATTATGATTATTATTTTATTTTTTTGGAATTGTATTAGATCATTATAAAATGCCTGTGGCTCAAATCTTTTTTTTTACAACTGAACTGCAGGGTTAAAGGGATTGAGTTGTGTGTGCATTTCTGGGTGGAGTCTACAAAATGTAAATGGTTTTAAATGTGGTATTCCAAGTTGTATTGCATCACATGTGCTTAAACTAGCCTCCTTCCCAGGTAGCCCTTTTCTGAGGGATTCCTGTGTTAAGGCAGAAAATCAGCTGGAGGGGGGAGGGGTTAGGGAGGGAAGGATCGTTGCTCCTAATCTCTTGGCCAGTATAAATCAACAAAATATCAAGGAGACAAAATTTCATTTCCTTAGGAGTAGCCTGTGAAGGAAGCTACACTAAAGTTACCTTTTCAGCAAGTGCAATTTTCTAGTAACTAGTTCTGTTATAACAACATCGCCTGATGATTGACTGTTTAAAGTTGGCAACATAGAAGGTCCAGTAAGCTAAAATCAAGAATATAAGCTATATAAAGACTGTACAGTATATCATGAAATTTTTAAATAATCTTGCAAGGGATGCAAAAGAGTGACCTCCAATACCACGGGGAACCTTATTTCTTGCAAACGTCTAGCCTGCTAACAAGTTTTCCTGCTGGGGGTCAGGAATGGGGAGAAGGAGGTCCTCCCCATTCCTTCTCGGCCCCCCAGCAGGAGCGCCTGTTAGCAGGCTAGCAAACATTTGAAAATAGTCCCTTTGAGCATATAGGCAATTGGTATTTGCCATGCGCTGGATTTGTGTATTCTCATGGCAATTTCGGCGCCATCTTGTTTTGTGGAGGCTTTGCGAGTAGAATGTCAAGTTTTGAATGGAGATCAGAGGATAACTTGAATCCATTGGGAGATGAAACTCTTACATGTTAAACACTTCAAGAACACCTTTCAGTAGAGGATAACTAAACTACGATCAGCCCTTTCGTGAAAGAATAATATGGCTGTAAACTTGGTTGAACTTCAAAAATTTCGACAAAATGCTGTGTTCTATTCTGTCTGCAAAAAAATATTTACCCTTCAAATGAACAATATGACAATTGGAGGTAAGTCTTGATGAAGGTTTCTTTGAATGACAATTCAATATTAGGACATTAATGCTTTGCAACACCGCAAATCGGTGTTTTTTTATGGGTAATAATTGCATTTTTTTATAAAATTACCGAGGACAACACAAACGTATTCATTATTTTACAGGTCGACCCCAAAAGAAAATCTGAGCTAGACAGATGGTTTAATGTTTGTTTTTGAAGGTTAAGCAAGTTTTAAGGAAATGGCAAATCGTTTGAAGAGTGTACAGAGAGTATTTTTGCACCATACTCGACCAGCATGCAAATCCTTCGGTTTCATGGTTGTTTTTCAAAGGGCTCCTACTGAACGTTCAATGGCTACAGAAGGACCATCTTCCATTGAAAGGTTGGTAATTATATGAAATTTGGAAAACTTGATTTGTATTTTACAAAAATTGCCTAGAACATGGTTTATTTTGGTAAAAAAAATCCGATTAAAAGTTTTTCGTCGTTTTTCTTGTTCTGACGTTCTTGCTCGAACAAAAACTTGAATATCTTTTTCAAATCATTTGACCCCCAAAAAAATAATTGTATCAGAAGAAAGCTTGTTTATCAATCTTTCTATAGGTTATAATTTTTTGGAATTAAAAAATCGTTTAGTACTGAATATGGACCAAACATGGAACACTACTCGTGATGTTGACCTGGCTCCTTGTACATGTATGTTACGGTTCTATTAACCTCCAGAGAGTTCTATTTTCACAGAAAAGCTTTGAGATTATAATTTTAGCTCTAAGTTGAACTCCCGGTTGAACTACACTAAAGCATTTATCTGTAGCATTCAAAAATCATTTTTTTCTTGTAAGAAACTTTTCATAAGCAGGAAAGTAAACCAAACACTGATGACAACATTTTTTTAATGCACTAAGGACAATTGTTTTCTTTACAAGTAGAATTTTAAATGATATCAGAGTCTAAGCTACTTCTTCAATTCCTATCCTTAAAGTGACACCATGTTAAAAGTGCACATGAAAACTGTGAAAACTCTAAAAATCCTTACCAAATGGGATGATAATGATGGAATCATAGCTCAAAGCTCATGTTTCATCACTTAGCTCTGTTTGTTGGTTAATAAATCTCAAAATACTCTGTTTGTTTATAGAATGGCTATGTACCTGCAGCAAAACACATAAGTAATGAAATCTTCACTCTTGTCTACTCTCTCATAAGATATACATGTAGCATTTACAAAAAATGAA